ATCATAGAAAACGGAAAATTTGTATAATAGAAAATGGGAAATATCTACTTTTCGGGCAAGTAGATTATCGACTTTTGGGGAAGTACATTATCGATTTTTAGGGGAACTAAATTATCGACTTTTGGGGAAATTCACCTAATTTTCCGAAGTAGATTATCATAGAAAACGGGAAATTTGTATCACAGAAAATGGGAAATATCTACTTTCTGGGAAAGTTGGTTATCTACTTTCCCGAAAAGTAAATTATCTACTTTTCAGGAAAGTAGATTATCGACTTTTTGGGGAAGTAGATTATCGACTTTTTGGAAAAATTACCTAATTTTCCGAAGTAGATTATCATAGAAAACGGGAAATTTGTATCATAGAAAATGGGAAATATCTACTTTCTGGGAAAGTTGGTTATCTACTTTCCCGATAAGTAGATTATCTACTTTTCAGGAAAGTAGATTATCGACTTTTTGGGGAAGTAGATTATCGACTTTTTGGAAAAATTACCTAATTTTCCGAAGTAGATTATCATAGAAAACGGGAAATTTGTATCATAGAAAATGGGAAATATCTACTTTCTGGGAAAGTTGGTTATCTACTTATCATAGAAAACGGGAAATTTGTATCATAGAAAATGGGAAACATCTACTTTCTGGGAAAGTTGGTTATCTACTTTCCCGAAAAGTAGATTATCTACTTTTCAGGAAAGTAGATTATCGACTTTTTGGGGAAGTAGATTATCGACTTTTTGGAAAAATGACCTAATTTTCCGAAGTAGATTATCATAGAAAACGGGAAATTTGTATCACAGAAAATGGGAAATATCTACTTTCTGGGAAAGTTGGTTATCTACTTATCATAGAAAACGGAAAATTTGTATCATAGAACATGGGAAATATCTACTTTCCGGGAAAGTTGGTTATCTACTTTCCCGAAAAGTAGATTATCTACTTTTCGGGAAAGTAGATTATCGACTTTTTGGGGAAGTAGATTATCGATTTTTTGGAAAAATGACCTAATTTTCCGAAGTAGATTATCATAGAAAATAGGAAATTTGTATCACAGAAAATGGGAAATATCTACTTTCTGGGAAAGTTGGTTATCTACTTTCCCGAAATGTAGATTATCGACTTTTTGGGGTTAGTAGATTATCAACTTTTTTGAAAAATGACCTAATTTCCCATTTTCTATGATAATCTACTTCGGAAAATTAGGTCAATTTTCCAAAAAGTCGATAATCTACTTTCCCAAAAAGTAGATAATCTACTTTTCAGAGAGGTAGATAACCAACTTTCCCAGAAAGTAGATATTTCCCATTTTCTATGATACAAGTTTCCCGTTTTCTAGGATAAGTAGATAACCAACTTTCCCAGAAAGTAGATATTTCCCATTTTCTGTGATACAAATTTCCCGGTTTTTATGATAATCTACTTTGGAAAATTATGTAATACTCCCTAAAAAAAAGTCGATAATATATTTCCCCGAAAAATCGTTAATCTACTTTCCCGAAAAGTAGATAATCTACTTTTCGGAAAAGTAGATAACCAACTTTCCTGGAAAGTAGATATTTCCCATTTTTTGTGATACAAATTTCCCGTTTTCTATGATAATCTACTACAGAAGATTAGGCCAATTTTCCAAAAAGTCGATAATCTACTTTCCCCAAAAGTAGATAATCTACTTTTTGGGAAAGTAGATAACCAACTTTCCCGGAAATTAGATATTTTCCATTTTCTATTATACAAATTTCCCGTTTTCCATGATAAGTAGATTACCAACTTTACCAGAAAGTAGATATTTCCCATTTTCTGTGATATACAATCTCACTATCACCAATAACTTGTTTGGGCAGGCCGACATGTTCAAGGGTTCGTAGCAACACCCACGATCCAAACGCTGGCATCTAATTGACTTCATCAGTGTCAGAGAAAGAGATGGCCGAGATGTCCTCATCACCTGTGCCATGGCGTGGCTTAGACCACTGTGACACCAATCATTGACTTATCAGATACAAGCTCTCACTTCAGGTCGCCCCAAAACGGAGAAGGCAGCAAGCCTCCAGATGAGGTTTTGTTACTAAGCGTCTGGAGGATCCAGTGGTAGCACATGCTTTCAGAAAGCAGCTCGAACATGGGCCCAATGACCAATAATGACCAATAATGACCACTGCACTACAAGGCACAGGTGCTCAGCTGAACTTGTATGTATTTAGGAGTTTCATATTTTTTTTTTCATTTTCTAGTAAAAGATAGCTTGGGTCACAAATATTCACTATAATATGTGGAAATCATTCATATAAAGAGCGAGCTTGTCAAGTAAGTTGGCTGTGACCTTACATGGGTACCGGTAAAACTCAAGATATGATGGGGGTTACACTCCTGAAAAACACATCGTTCAGCAAAATTTTTTAAATATGGAGCATTATAACATGGGGTTCAATGGGATACGTTCCCAGCCAGTTCCCACACACACGTGTATCACAGACAAAAAATTTCCTACAATATCACGATCAGTACAAAATAATTAAATAACACTCGCTACATCATACTGGACAAGTCTGGTCATCATCACATGTCCCCTTTGAGGCTAAAGGGACTCTTGTAGGTGGAGTGGAGATGTCACTCTGAGTACAAATAGGCTGGAGGCAAAGTGGGAGTCAGAGTCCTAGAAAGGGCTTCTACAGTTGGGGCCGGAGGTGTAGGCTTTGACTTGGCTTTAAGTTAGGTGAAGTTCCTGGGTGGGACTGGAGAGGTGTCAGAAGTTGAGGGTTGTGGCCCTGACTGTGGCAGGGGCTTGAAAAAGGAGGCGAGTGTTGTCTGGTGCACCTCTTAAGGTACAGCTCCTTGTAGCAGAGCATGCCCTTCACCACTGCCCTCACAGAGGAACTCCTGTTGATGTTGGGGTCATTCTCAGCAAGGGGCTTCATGGCAGTGTTCACACGGTCCATTGCAGTGCTCAACACCTTCAGAGTCAGCGTCATGGGTGCAGGGTTTTCCTTCTCACCCGTTGACTCTTCCATTCTCTGCTGCTGTTCCAGGAGCAGCAGGTCCTCTGTGCTGAGCTCAGAGTAGCTGTCCAAGACCTCAGCCACATTCTCTTCGTCCACCTCTTGAAAGCCGGTTTCCTGGGAGATGCTGGTGATGTCGCGGTGTAAAGTTACAACATCCGGGAAACTGCAAAAGTTGTGCACGCACTCAGGTCACACTTACTCATGCAGCTTTGTGTGACCTCCTTCCACGACTTGTAGATGCTGTGTATGGAGTGCTTGATGTAGCTACGCCAGAATTCTTTGATTGTCAGCTTTCCCTCTCCATCTGTCGCCTCAAAAAGCTGCTTCATCAACCTCCTCAAGTAGTAGGCCTTGAAGGTTGCGATGATGCCCTGATCCATCGGCTGGATGAATGAGGTGGTGTTGGGGGCCAGAAACATCACACACTGATGTCAGTCCACTCACCCAGTGTAGGCGGGTGCGATGGCACATTATCAACGATCAGGAGAAACTTGTTGGAGATGTTCTGCTTCTCAGCATATGTCTTGAGGAGCGTGGAGTGGTAGCCAACTTCTGGCACAACACCGTCATTATCCAGGCCTTCTTGTTGGAGTGCTAGATGACTTGCAGGTGCTCCTTAATAAACCCCTTAAGAGCTATCCGGTTCTTGGAATAAATGAATGACACCAGCATGGGAGCCAACTTAACACTCTTGGGGTTTTCAGACGCAAATTTGCGTATGAACTCAAAACTTACAATAGAATAATTTTATGTTTGCATATGAATGCTAGATATGCAAGATGCACATTTGGCAACATCGATGGGATCTGGCACCAACAGTATGTAGACTGCCTCTAAAGTTACGCGAGTGACCACACCAGTCACCCTTTGAGTTTCAACAGCACAGGACGTAACCTTCACCTGCATTTCCCACCATTTTCTCGTGGTTTGTGCAGATTTCTCGTTCACCAGAGGGATTTCATTTAATGATACATGTTGTGATATTTTTTAACCATGCCAGAAAATGGGAAATATCTATTTATCATAGAAAACGGGAAATTTGTATCATAGAAAATGGGAAATATCTACTTTCCAGGAAAGTTAGTTATCTGCTTACCATATAAAATGGGAAATTTGTATCATAGAAAATGGACACTTGACAATAGTTATTGTAAATGAATGTGCAAATTATCTAAAAACACTATGATATCTTGTATTGGAAGAAATATAAAATTAAAATTTACAAGAGGCTACGAAAATAACGTAAAAATTCAGGAAAAAAATATTTGTTTCCATCCTTTTTTGTTTCCATCTGTAATATATCGTATACCCTATACAGGTATTATAATTTTCACAGTGGAATGTGATAAAAACTATTCTTGTTATCAACTCAGGATGGACCTTGTTGGGTAACAATGATATTCCTCTGGTTTGATTTTATAATTGCCAGTGGTAATTGCACATACTAAACCTGGAGATAACTTACAAAATGTGCTTGGTGACATACTGTCAGACACCTTATGTGCTTAGCAACATTACTGTATGATGAACTTGGTGACATTCTGACAGCCGAGATAGAGTTTCTGGAAGGTGGATACGGAATTTTGAAATGGGATAGTAAAAAATATAGATAGAAATATGTTACAGTATTTTCAAGGGTTTGGATAATTTGGTAGTCGAATAGCTGGACAATTGTTAGAGGTGGCTCACAGAAATTTGAGATATAAAGAATTGTTCCGATTTATACTGGGTTTAGGCAAATTTTTCTAAACATGCCTGATGCACAAAAAATATCCCTTCAATGTGTTTTGAAGATGAACAGTAGTTTGAGGGATATAAATAATTAGCTTTCCTTCATACTATTACCTGGCATGAATTTATTCTTAAGTATTAAATTAACTTATCTAGTTAATAAATGCCATCTTATGCAATCTAAGAAGTGTTATGTAGAATTCTTCCCAAAACATACAGTATTGAATATATTATAATAATAATAGTGGGATTATCAATGACAAAAAACATGACCATACTAATTAATTATTATTGACTGTTTTAGAGCTAATCCATATTAAATTTTAAACATTTCAATAATTTTATTTTTTTGTCTGCAGTTATCTTTCATATACATACGTCTACCCAAACAAGTTATTATTTGGTTTAATTGTCATGGTTAAATTATGCTGTTATGGTTACCACTTTCTTGTTACCACCACCAAATGGAACATAATAAATATTTTAATTGCTCATTGAAACCAATTATGAATCATAAAGGAGATAATTTTTTCCTGCAGTGATGCATGGTGACAAAAAAATAAAAAAATAAATATTCATCTGGAGGTGGTCACATCTTAAATGCGGTAATACTAATACAAATCAGTGTGGAAGAAAACAAATGGTACAAATTTCCTTAAATTATGCAATTCGGCTGGTGAACGACTACAAAGCTTCCTCGCCTAACTGAGTAAGTCTGCAGTGTTCTATTACAAGCTTAACTAAACCTACATTTATTCATAAAGTTTTCATGAGAATTGTTGCCTGTATTAATACATTTTTTAATGACACTTTCATATTCTAAAAATAATAATTGGTCAACTGGAAATTGGTGGATCTGAATTATTTGTAAAACAATACAACCATTGAATATTAATACAAATTAACAAATTTATATCTTATTTAAAACCATCAATAAAATGTAAACAATTCTATAACAAGACAGGCAATAAGAGCAAAGCTAAACTTTAACTAACAACTACACTAACAAATGTCCGAGTTACTTCACTGACACCCAGAACCCGGTGTGTACTACAGTAATGCAGAAGTCTGACAAGATGACATCTTCCACATCCAGAAATACAATAAACTAGCCACAAAATGAAAAACTTGACAAAAGTATTAGTCATGTCACTAGCTGGCTGCTTAAAATGTGAGACAGTTACCTCAACAATGGTCAGGACTGACTCATTCAAATATGAAGACTACCCTCTTAAAGACATCAAAGACTTTTTCGTTGGCAATATTATCATTGTAACATCAACCAAATAATTAATTTTCTTGTGCAAAAACTATAAATATAATAATGCCTAAAACTACTGAAAATGAGTTTATAGCACTGACAGCTCATTAAGGGCAATGTAGACAACACATTAATACTAAGCCTTTGGTTCACAAGGAAGCCCAGCAGTCATTCTTCACTTCCCCAAATGTAAAGTTAGGTGCCCCTTCACAGTTGGGTGGACTAAGGGTACCCCAGGTTCAAACCAAGACCCCTTAGGCTAGAAGGTAAAAGCTGTATCCACTGCTGCCACACTGTAATTGGAACCTTAAAGAAAAACTTGACACTGAATGATGCAAATACAGAGGGTAGGATCTATATTTGAAAAAGCTACACTATTATCAGCATATGGCTATTGATGAAGGCTACATCAAGCACTGGGACCACATGCTGGGATTCTATTCACAATCCTGTACACAGTGTTTTTCTTGAACTTCTATCATTTTTTAAACGGCTTCATAAAATTGTTCTACGCAGAATTCCTTCAGATAAATCAATCTTTGACCTCCATTAATACTTTGTGGCTAGCTGATAATCTTACTAGTGTATCAGTATCTTTAGTCAAAAACTTTTAAAGCTTCTAAAAATAAAAATCAATACAAATATATAATAAATAACACCTGTTTCAATTTCAGGAAAATGTTAAAAATATCCTTTAAATTTCAATAACTATATTTTGAAGTTCAAATTTCCATTTTTTTAAACATACTGTAAATGAAAATGTCATGGTGTGAAATTCAACATCTGTACATGGTATATAACAACCATATAAAGACTTATGAAACATAAATTAAATATACTGACTATAAACTATAAAAAGAGGGCTTTAAAAATAATTCATAAAAAGACAACAAATTGTCTTAAAGAAATGCAAATTCGGAATGCAAAACAACAATAATAACCCTATGAAGTATGATGACTTTTCTTTTTTAATTTTGCCAACCAACTATAATTGCTTCTCTCAAGCAGTCTGTAACCTCATGATTGACAAGTTACATTTAGTCCAGACACTAGATGCCAGTGACCAATCATGAATACACAATAATGGCAACTAGGTCACTATCTGATGACCATTACCTAACCCAATTTCCCAAAGTGCAAATAATTCACACTGTCAACATACTCAACACCACAAAAAGGTTTTCTGTTCAATACAAACTGAATTAGTCAAACTCACTTATAAATTACCATATGTGTTTTAAGTGGTTTCTCTGCTTGCGTACAAAATTATTATTACTTCCTTAAATTTCTAGTAAGACATTCTGATGGTTGTCATCGGTCAGTTTTCGTGAATATTACACAAGACAAGCTTTAGGGCAATGCTGAACCAGATACTTCCTCAATAATATTACAGTACATGTCATATACAGGTATTAAGATAAAAATAAAGTAAGCATTTTGAGCTTAACAATAAATATCAACCTAATCATACTTCTCTTGTGAATGTTTTTGTGCATCCCTATAAGTTTAGTCTACATGGTATGGTGAAGATACATGACTAAAAAGCTATTTTGCATGAATATGACAGCTATAAAATCAGAAATTATGACAGTCCAAAGACTAGCAAATATTTCTTTATAAAAACTTCAAATGTAAACACTAAAAATATTTTTCTTCTAACAGATCTCCTAAACAGGAGTAGGAAAGCCACATGCTACCCAAGCTTGGGTCATTAACAATATTAGAAAGCTTAAAAATGTCATCTATGAATCATCCTCTATTCCATAATAGTTAGCAACCCTTCTAGCACTCTTAATTATGCACCATCACAGAATGCAAAAGCAATTCTTGACTACAATATCATTAACTATGTTAGTAGCAAGTATACTACAACAAACAACCTACAAAATACAAACATCATTAATTAAGAAATATTCACCCTGTCTTCATCTTGTTTCTTGAAACTTTGGTTTTATGCAACTGGGACACAAATATCATGAAACTTACGACACAACCACGATATATACTGTGGTTTACCCAGTTATATTTTGTTACTCTTTTGGATACAGTCTTACTCTGTGCACAACATCTTAATGCTACACTTGAGATCAAACACTTAAATAATTATCTGAATGGATTAGTTTTCTGTATTCAACGGTCAATTAATTTTAGTAACGTACACAAGGACACTACGCTGTACTGCAATTTTTCTTTGTGATTTGGTGAATCAATTTACATTTTATTACTACTGAACATAATATTACTCTGGAACTGCTACGAAAAGGCTCCCCCATCACACACAACACTCATAGCACCACGAGATATTTTTCATCAGTAAAGCCATTTTGTTCCAAGATAACTTGAAATGAACACATGAAGTCTCTACATATGCTCACTGGGATCCTAATAAACATCAATTTCAAAAGAAAGGGTAAAAAAAAAAAAAAAAATATGATTTGCATAACAAATTACTGTACAATAGAGTACGTAATAAAAATCATATCCATGTGAACATTTAGTCATCTAGAATCAAATGTCGCATGAATTCTCATGAAAAGCCTTTCACAACCTTAGAACATTCATAGTAAAATCAATTCTTAAAACATTTATATACTGCTGCCATTCCTTTCCTATACAGATGACTTTGCTCACAAACATCACCTTACAATCTAAGGGATGGGATTAACAAGTTTCATCTCCTTGCACTTACAACCTGCTCAGTCATACCCTAAGATCTGCTGACATCCTCTAAGAATGTTTGAAACAGTCTTTTACAGAATCTCAACTCCATACCTTTCTTATCCATTCACAGTTCATGGCCAGATGAACAATGTGGATGAATAAATCACTATGCTATGAGTTTAATAAAACTCACAAATGAAAAACTGAAGAAATATACCTTACAGTATACCAAAGATCAAGAGAACACTTTGATAATTATAAAATATGATGATAAAGGAAGAATTTAGGCATTGAAATACTTCCATATTTATTCCAGTCTTCCACTCATGGGTCTTATCATTAATGAATGTTGTGCAGTAACTCTCTACATAACTTGCAGGATCTGACTGGCCTCAAAAACAGTGCCAGGTGGAAGGATGACTGGTGCAGAAACATGTCCGGCCTCTACACACACCAGGTTGGGGAACTCCTCCTCCCCAAAGTCCGGGATCTCTTTGGCTTTCTCGATCCAAGGGTTCCACACCACTGAAAAATCATATAAAACTAATTAGAGATAATTATATCAAAAGTAAAATAATGCATTAATTTATAACACTGGCTAAAGTATCGCTTAATTCCCCTCCATATTTAGCTCCAATATTCATCACATTCCTTCTGGGTTCCTTGTGCATTCTTAAGTTTACTAATTTTTCATTTACTTCTTGTTATATTAAGTCAGCTGTTCCTTTATTACTGCATAATCAATCATGCAGCACACTTAGCTTAAGCTTATAGTAATGTTGTTCAATCACAGTAATAAAAACAAGGTGTTTTAGCTATATGGGAGTACAATGATATATCTGATTTTGAATGGGGTAACTAGGGTAAGAATAAAAATAATTTACTCAAGATTTAGGTACGTTAGAGTACAGGAGTACAGTCGACCCTCGTTAATTCGGACCCCTTTAATCCGGATTTCGGATAATTCGGACAAAATCTGAACTTTTTTTTTTTTTAGGAATATTACCTACGCGGACCTTAAGCTAAAATGCTGGTCCACCCACTGCTGGGATAAAACACCAGCGTCTTTTTGGTTAAATGTAACTTCTCCACCACTAGTGTGGGGGGGGGGGATGCAACTTTTAGCTTCAGACATGAAAAATATTTACCATTTCCTGCCAGTAAACAATGGAAACGTAAAATATGTACTAATTAGTAATGAAAAGTTGTGCAGTTCCTTCAGCAAATGAAGCTCATCAACTTACAATAGGCTAAATTACTTTACAACGTGTTTTCAGTAGTCTATGTTGAAGTTCTTAGCACAGGCTAACTTATCATATCATATACGGTATCACAGTTCTCATTGATCTACAAAAAATACCAGTAATAAAAACCATTTCCATATTTCACACTTAATATAATACCCGGTAATCTACTTCAACCTCCTATTGTTTACAACTACGCATGACGCACCACCCGCTGTCGAGTATCAGCTAGACGGTACAAGTGTTTTTCGAATCGTTTTCAGTTAAAAAACTGTTACATCACATGTATATTTTACCTTAACTGTGCCTAAATTAATATATTCTCGGAAATAAATAGTAGTTTTGCTGAAACGTGATGTATTTTAATGTAAAATAGGATAAAATACATGACGAAAATAAAAGATTTTACCTAACCTTCCGATGTTCAAGAGAAGTTACTCGTTTTTTAATAGTTTTTGGTTAAAATACTGTTATATTACAATGGTATTCTATTCATACTGTGCTTGATATAATGCATTCACGGATGTGTAATATTTTTGCTGAAATGACGTACGTATTACAGTAGAAAGTGGGATAAAATCGTGACGAAAACAAGGACTTTCGCTTTCTTTCGTTCAAAAGATGTTACCGTAATCGCTTTTCGATTGTTTTTCAGTTAAAAAACTGTTGTATTACAATAATATTCTATCCTAATTGACTTGAATAAATAGTATGATACCATATTTCTGAATATTTTCATTAAAATCCATCCAAATCATTTCCCTTGTCATCGTCTGTAGCACCAAACAGCTTCTCCCAGTCCTCTCCTTGAACAGGGCTAGAGGCTACGTGTTTTTCGAATCGTTTTCAGTTAAAAAACTGTTACATCACACGTATATTTTACCTAAACTGGAAAAGAATGAATATATTCTCAGAAATAAATAGTAGTTTTGCTGAAACGTGATGTATTTCAATGTAAAATAGGATAAAATACATGATGAAAACAAAAGACTTTACCTAAGCTTCCGATGTTCTTGAGATGTTATTCGTTTTTTTAATAGTTTTCGGTTAAAATACTGTTATATTACAATGGTATTCTATTCATACTGTGCTTGATATGTAGAAGGCTACATTCATGGAAATGCTAATAAGATTTTTGCTGCACTGCATTATATATTGTCAATATATAAAATATATTTCAAAATGACCAATAATTTGCTTGTTTAGTTGAAGAGAGTCTCAAGCAAGATGTTACCTCCAGTGAAAACAGAGAGAGACTGACGCCTGTTTGCTGTGTTATGGAAAATAGTCGTTCAATAATTGTTACGAATAAAACAAAATTATTGACTGATATTTACATATAAGGAATTTAAGCCCTAGATAAAACCCCTAGTGCAAGCGAAAACATCGGTTAACTCGGACAATCGGCTAAAACAGACACCCTTCCCCCCTATTAGTCCGAATTAACGAGGGTCGACTGTACTGCTCATTGGGCCACCTAGCAGACCTAACCTTGTCAGCTGCACAGATAACTAACAAATGATTATGCTAAAACTCATAACCCAAAGACTCAGGGCTGCCACAGGTGCAACCAATCAGGGCCGGGGGGTGGGTGGGGGGGAATGTGGGTGTGGATTCCCTGTAATCTCCATATGGAATCAACTGTACTTGTGTCACTGTTCATTTTAAACTTTTATTTTTTACTTTAAGATATTTACATTATCAATGTGCTTTACATGCTAAAATTTACTTGTCTGGCTTACGATATCATTCTTTATCAACACTTGATAGTTAATATAACTTGCAATTGCAGAATATAAAGAAAGGAAATAAAATAAAGAACTCTAGATTACCCAATGCACCTCACTCTGCCAACCAGTCTTTGGCTCTGGTTGCAAGCTCATGTGAATGAAGTACTGTATAGTTCAGTGGTCTTTCGTAAGCTTATTTATGAGTGGCTTAAACTACACCTATACTTGATATGGAAACTATATACAATTTTGTGTAAATACAAAAATTAAATGTACTGGGTATTTTTATGTATTAAATAATATAGATTTACAAAGACAGTACACATATTTAAAAAAAAAGTCATAAGAACATGGCTGTTAAAGCTATAACATTCAGACTGTTAAGAAAGATTATTACAGTATCCATAACCTGAAAGTATCCGTAATTTCAACCCACGTACAGTATTCACATAAGCTAACACATGGATTGGGAATGTGTCTCATCAGTATATGACTTAAATTTACATTTATTGGAACACTTACCCGTATCAACAAGGTTGTACTTCTGCATTCTCATCTTGCGGCCACTTACAACATTAGTAATGATGTGCTCGAGGGGAGTGTTTTGGTAAATACGGTCCGTCCATTCATTAATGGTTACCACGTCACGGTGTTCCTGGTAGAGAGCTCCCTCCCGAGTCTGGCATGATAATACAGTACATTATGCTATATGAGGTGGAGTATCCTCTGCATTTCTGATATCCAACACATTGACAATTTAGATAAAACTTTAATATGGTTGATGGACTGGGATATGCATTATAAGAGTTAATAGATAATAAAATATTGGGAAAAACTGATTAATGCTCTCAAGAAACCATTTTTCTATTCCTTGCAGTGTTGTTCACCTGGGCTTCTCCATTTCTATCTTTGTTAAATATTGTCACTCAAATACTGTGCCTACATTTAGGTAGTAGGCAGCTATCAAACAAGGAGGTACTACCACCTGGGAAGATATTGGAAGCATAATGTGTTGTCTAATGGTAGACCCTGCTGCCATATGGCAACACAAAAATTGTGACCAAGTCCTAGGTTGCTGATCTGACATTCTGCCTCATTTACACACAATTGCAGGGTCTCAATTGTTTCTCTTACTTTGACAACACAACGTACATATATTGTTTCTCACTTTTTTTTTAATTTTTGTATTCATTTATGGCTCATTATTACTACTGTATTATTAAGTTTTATTAACTTTATCATTATTATTATTTCATTACATTTTTGCCCACCAGACCTTGATGTGGGTCATAAAATTACTTGTACCCGGGTGGGATAATGCCCATAAAAAAAAAAAAAAAAAAACCCACCACCAACCTCCAGCTCCTGCCTACACCAAAATTACTTCCTCTTTATAACACCAGAACTTTGCACTTTGTAGTGTCTACCTTTGATATTCTTTACTTGTAATTTCATTAAAATATCCAATCAATATCTCTCAGACCTGGCCAACAGTAGAGCATCATCTACAGAGTAAATGAGCTGGTCTTACTTGGATTCCTCGTTCACTCATTCTTACTTTCATTTCCCAGGTTACTTCATCCATGGTGACATCAAATACCCAAAAATGGCATTACATGCCTCTGATGTATTCCCCCAATTCTTTCAAATTGCAGGCATATCCTGCTCAATAAAATACATGCAATCTTAACTACAGACATCCCACATATGAAATTTATATCTATTACATCAAATATGTCACTGAGGGTACACTTAAAATTCAGACCATCTGCATTGAATGGCTCAATACTACTACACTAAGCAAAATTATGTTAAATGAAGCACAATTTCCTTTCAAAATGCATATATTATCTAAAGATGCATTCCTGACTTACCCGGTAAGAATTTCGGCTGTACTGTATAATGTGCCACATAAATTACCATTAAAAAAAATACAGTAAAGTAGAATCATGGAAACAAACAATTAAAACTAAACAAATAATATAAAAATTAACATGGTGGTTCTTTATTAGGGTATTTAAATATTTCAAGTCAAAATATGCAATTCAACATACAATGGTAATTATGACACAAGTTAAATTGTTTGTTTTATCAAGTACAACACCCTTGGAAATATCAAAGGTCTATTCAGTCTACTGTATTTGTTGAAACAGGACTAGTAGGGTACCAGATTTTGAAGGTGCTGTACCAATATTCGTAAAATCCCAAAATCCAGTTCGGTTTCAGTCGCAAGGTTACTGGATTCTGGGCAGAGAACCTGTATAACAGTCCTCTTTTTTTAATGTTTCAATCATTATCCTATACCTTCTATTGTTTGCTTTGAAAATATGTTTTCAAATTACCTTTTTCCAAATTCCAATAGCCAATACAGAAGTTATTTAGCCCCTATTACTACAACTACAGGGCAGTATCAGTTGCATGACCACATATCCTTTTAAAAACTATGGGGGAAGCGGGAGGTTTCTAGACATAACCCTGCTTACCTGGACTGTTTCAAGAAAATCGGATATACTCAAACCCAGGTTGTCGACAACTGTTTTCACTGATATGACTATTTTGTACTGTAAAATGTTACATGCAAGTATACTGTACTGGTAAATACAGTATGAATAAATACTGGGAGATGAAAGTATCTGGAAGCTGCAGGCAGGAGGTAATGTGGGTGGTTGGCTCCCACCCCCAGGATCCCTCTGACACATCTTTAAGTAATTTCACCATAATTCCCATATTATGTATTTAGGTTCATTTGGTGCTGGTGTTGATATAACATTATTGTAAAATAATAAACTTTGCAGAGAAAATAATCCCACACTCAAACGCAAGTAAGTCACCGCATCTTATTAATTCCTAGTCTTTTGTTAACAAGTGAGAGCAGCTGTTCATCCTAGCTCCTTTACCATGTTAACAGCTCTCTCCATCTCTTGTGCTTACCGCAACAAGTATGTCTTCAGCATTTAGTAAATAGCACTGTAGTGCATTTATCAGCACTTAATAAATAATACAGTATTGTAGTGTATGCGTCAGAATATTCCCTGGTTTATTCGTTAATCAGTTGTTTAAGTGCACAAGTAACCAAACCGAGCCATCATTATCACTTGAAGGTAATAAATTATATTTTTTGGAATGTATCTCCATACCAAATACTGTACTGTATACTATACACTACGTTAAGATGACCCTGTTGATAAGTTGATTTGCTGAAAACTCTCTCTCGCCGTGAACACATCCCGAGTGAATACCTTCCGATACAGTTGACTGGCGGTGTGTTATGGGGATTTCTACGGCATTATGAGCGCGCGCACACACACTTATGTTACTTTTTTATTTTCTGTCAATCAAGTGACCCCGTCTCCAATTATGTAACTGTATATTTTCAGCCTTCTGGCTGCCATGGTCTTCAATAAACCATTAATTATTATTATTACAGACACACACACACACACACCTCCTTTCTCTTCCATTGGTTTTATTGCAGCATTATTATTATTATTATAAGTGCATTTGTTCAGGAGAGTATTAATAAAGTTTGTTGTTATTATTTGCTACATTGTAGTTAAGATTTTGTTGTGAAGGAACCTATTTCACATCTATAATGGAAATCTATGGGAAAATTGGGTGCAACATACAGAATTTTTATTTACTACGAGATTTTAAGGAACCTAACCCATCCGTATATCAGGGATGACTGTACCATGGTTTGTAAAAGAGTATACAGTACTATCAAAATAAAAAATGTGAATACTCAAACCACAGTTGGTAAACCTGTGGTTAGTGTGAGATTCCTGTACATCTGCTCCTTCCAAAACAAATCATCATATATTAAACAAATATAAACAAGAACTCGAACAAATGAGGACCACTAAACTGACCTTATCTACGTATGTACATCCTCTCATGCCAGTAATTTGGCATCGTCGTACATCAGGAACCTTGAAATAAGTGTGAAGAAGGAGAGTGAAGGAAAGTGTCTCTGCTCCTGGGTTGTAAACAGAAATGTTGAAGTGGAGCTCCTTTTCTCGCAGGATAAGGCGATAAGTTAGGCTGAAGCTGTTAAGAAAATTGCAGCATTATAATTTGTTGTCTGCCACAAGCAGGACAGATTATTTTTAACCACAGAACATACAGGCGATAATTTTATAATTTTAATAAATCTTTATACGAGCCACAGGGATGGTGTGCCATTTCAATTAAACCTTACTCCTATTAAATTTCGTATGACCACAAGACATCACCAGTCAAGTCCTATCCACCAATTGCCTCTTGTGTGCATTTCAGTGATTGCATATAGTTTAATAGTACACACTAAATTGAATAAAGACTAAACATGCCTTACTACAAACAACCTATCTCACTTGGTTGAAAACATTACCAGTGGCATATGGTAACTTGCCAATACAGCTCCACCCTGACTTATGACCACCGGGACATACGACCGCCTCAGTCGTACCCAAATTTTTTCAAATTACCTATTTTCGAGTCCCAACTGACAAAATTTTCGTTTGTAATTCACTTTAAAATGGCTGGCAAGCTTAAAACTGAGAGTTTTGTGGTGCCGAGAAGAAAATGAGACACCAATTTTAGATGTATTTTTTAAGCATTTTCGACTTACGACCTGGATTTGGGTCTCTAACCCTGTCGTAAGTCGGGGAGGAGCTGTACCGTATTCTCATATAATCTAAGTGTTACTATTAACTCACATGACAGTCTTGAGGGCACAGTACTTACAATATATTAGTTTTCCTCAGCTATAGGACAGAGCTGATTGTTTTTCTACAGAGCTTATAGCATTTTTCTTTATCCTTAAACTCATGATGATACTTTACACTCCAAATACTGGTGTATTAAAAGTGTTAGGGTAGAAATAATATGCACTGTATATACAAGGCAATAGCTAAGGAACACATAAAGGACTTAATAAATATGCCATCTAATTCTCCACAACTATTAACTACTGTTTTTATTCTTGTGATCAGCCACCACACAAGATCATGCATTATGTAATTAGTGGTGTCTAAAAGGGGGAAGGGGACATGGCCCCTTTAGCTACTCACTGCCCTCAACTCATTCTTTTTACTTTTACTCTCTTTGCCACTTATCGCCTCGTTAGCCTCTTGGGCGGTCAGTCACAGCTCTGTTACACACTGTTGGCAAGCACCTAACATAACCAGTTTGCGAGGACGTAAGTACAATACAGAACAGAGATTTCTGCCAAAGTAATATTTCTGCACTGCAGACTGCACTTTTTCTTCCACGTGAAACTCAAGTGTGGGTTAATCATACTTAAGCTTCCCCTCACCGGATCCGGACAGCAATGTAAACAATGGAACGTATGCTATGGGATGAAGTATTAATAGTAGCCATAAAATATGTCCTACTATTTATTGCAGATGGCCCCAAAAAATCCCTGAAATGGGATAAATTTCACAATTTTCTCAGATGGGGTGACCAGCTGTATTGGTTTGCTATGTTTGCCCCTTGCTTACGCCCCTGTATGGAAACATAATAATGACCCTATCTTAAAGACTTGAAGATACACACCACTTTATGTAATAGCCATTAGTACAAAATCAGTCAGGTAGGGGTCATTATGTTGGCCTTAGTGACCACTTTATCACCTACTGCAGCAGGAAAAAGGTCAGGGGTAAGACAGGGCAACACAACGTAATCAAGATACAGTCAATGAAGAATGGACAAGTTGTCGATTCTGGGTAAACACAAGAAATACACTCTGCCACGTTTGTAGTGATACGGTATATATAATTTGTAATAAAGTTTTAAGTCCTGCTATAATAATTGAAATAAGTTGATTTCTCTAGAAACAAGGCCGCCATTTGCAATGATGTCACCAGTTTCCCAGTACTGTACACGACGTTCTCCAACAAACTCACCACTGCAGTCAGCGGTAGAACAAAGGATGGCCTCTTCAGACCCCAAATGTGGCATTCAGTTAAGTTTTGAGGGTGTTTTTTTTTATGGTCTAAGTCATGGACATTTCGTAAATGAAGAAATGTGAAGTGAAGAGCAGCTTATGGACATGTTCACACCAGCTCAGCTGTCATGTATTCTTATCTGGTAGACTTTCTCCTTGTTTTCCAGTGCATTTACAGAGTATATCAGTACTATTTGGAGATACGAGTCAATTTAGAAGTAATGACATTGTTTTGAGAATGCAGTGGGATATATCATCATAAATATTAATTAATGGGTAAAATTTTACTTTAACTACCATAAGTATTTGGATGTTTAGATTCGAGATAGTCTATGTTGGGTAAATTTAAGTTTTGGTCATCCCTGTATTCAGACCTGCAGACTGTTTATTTTCTGGTTTGCGTTGCGTTATGAACGATTTTGACCTTCATTTCTATTAGAAATCACTAGTTACTACCCCCCCATACCGGTGTATGTTAAGCTAACCTTATAACTTATAATATAACTCGTCATACCCTAACCTAGCCTATGACCTGTATTTTCTTATGCGATCGAAAAATGTTTTGCAACAGAAATCCGGTAGAGAAAATATGTCTTATTGTTTAAAGTACCGTATTTTTCGGCTTAAAAGACGCACTTTTTATGACAAAAATATACCTCGAAAATTACCATGCGTCTTCCAGGACACTAGTCGATGAGTTGTAGCAGAGGTTTTTGAAATCAGCCCCTTACAAAGACTGTTACCTCATTACAGTATTAACAATTACAAGTATTCTCTATACAGTACTATAAAACTATTGATTTAACTAATATTGTTGATATATTGCAAAAAAAAAATAAATAAATAAATAAATAAACCCTTGCTGCTGTGTGGTTTGTTTACTAATGGCAGTGGTGCGGCAGCGCCATCTATTGAGGAATTGCTAAAGGTGTTGTCTGCTGGTCTCAAATGCAGGAATGTTTGTTTCTTTATATGTAGGCTCTCATATTTCGACACCTATTTACAGTAGGCTCTCATATTTGGATACCCATTTAGGCTGTAAAAACCCCACAAAATTAAAATCTTCCAAATTTAAATACAACTTCGTCATCCAAGTCAAAACACACACACAACAACATTGGCTGTCCCAACTTTACTACCACTGGTGGGTAGTATTTTTTTTTAAATTCAGAAACATTAATTAAAATATATATGAACAGTAAATAAGTGTTGCTTTCATATTCTTATGTAGAGTAATAATGATATGTTTACACATGTGCTCACTTACATACACGATCTCACTTTTTTTTACCCTTAATTGTTAGCTACTTCCATTGTTCCATTTATTAACATACAGTACAACATTACTTAAAACAACCATATTAATTTTTCTACATTAATTTTAATACAGCTACAATGGAGGACTTATTTTCTTCAGTTTTATAATTATGTAGAACCAATCAGTCACTGGTTTTGCAAAAAACGAGTTGTTTTTTTTACTTTTATTTTGTTTTTAAATAAAGATTTTTTGTTTTATATAGACATTGATATACATGTTTACATTTGCTTACTTTCTACTGTTGGAAAATATTTCCCTTCGTTGTCATACCGACAAAAACAAGAGAAAGAATGTAAACGCTACAGCCCCTAAGATGTGGAGGTGACCAGGTGTATAAAATGAGCGCTGTATTAAAGATTTCACCTTCTTATACAGATTTTTTTTAAATTGATGAAAATGACGACTGATAAGCAGTTCTAAGTGATGATATTCAAAGAGGTGTGTGTACTTGTGCCAAAAGGGCTGTACAGTATATCAAGCAACGGTTTCACTGGTGTAGGTAGTGGCAGCTAATGTGCCAAACAAGGAGGTACTACTGTCTGGGAAGATATTGGAAGCATAATGTATTGTCTAATGGTAGACCCTGCTGCTATGTGACCAAGTCCCAGGTTGATGATCTGACTTTCTGCAGGGTCTCAATTGTTTCTCTTACTTTGACAACACAACATACATACAGGTATATTGTTTCTCACTTGATATTTTTTTTCATTTTTGTATTTCTTTATTATTATTATTATATTATTATTATATTATTATTATTATTATTAATACATTTTCGCCCCCTAGGCTCCAATGTGGGTTAGTGACCTGTGCCCAGGTGGGCTAAAACCCGTAAAAATTTTTTTTAGAATTTCATTTCCAAAATCATGGTACGTCTTCCACGATGCAGTGTCTTCCAAGCCGAAAAATACGGCTTAATCCCATAGTCAGAATCTTTAGGTTTCCCAGATGACCAAAACCAAAATAATATCAATATTGCTTGGAATGTTTATACTGTACTATGAAATTTGTAGTAGGGACAGCTAATATCCATTGAATTAGTTAATGTGCTTAGTAATATTTATATATTTAATATAGCATTACTGTGTTGCACAGTAAAGCACAATTAATTATATAATAATATTTATTTACAGAGCCGATCAGCCGAGAAGGTTGGACAATTACTTCCAGGGTTCATCAAGGCAGATGAAAGAAATTTACCAAAAGTAGATGTCATTATGATTGTAGAGTATTATCAAGAACTCCGCCATCCAGCCATGACGCACGTCAAATTACTGTACAATTGTACCCCGCTTTACGCGGTCAATTGAACCCACAGGGTACCGCGTTAAGTGAACAACAGAACATATGGGATTAATTCCAATAGAGACTGGCCCGACCCCCAAACTCCACTTTTTGACGACACACAACTATGTTGTAGTAAAAATTTTATCTTAACTTTATGATGGTATGAACAAACAAGTAATATAGAAGAGGTTAGGTTAGGAAAAATAAAGGTTAAGTTAGGAAAACTAAAGGTTAGGTTAGGAAAACTAAAAGTTAGGTGTAACACTTACGTTTGTAGAAGAGATGGGTCGGCATACGGGGATGGAGGCGGAGGCGGAGGGGGGGGAGGGAGGGAGGGAGGGAGGGAGGGAGGGAGGGAGGCAGGCGGGAGCGGGTGGCGGGAATCTAAAAATAGCGTCTCGAGCCGGACACTCTACGCGTATATGGGTAGATGAACCGCGTTAAGTGAAAGTTCGGTTCTGGCGAAGCACCGCGTATATGAGAAATCGCGTTAAGTGAAACCGCGTAAAGCGGGGTACAACTGTACATCTGTCCTTCCACAACATTAAATATAGACATCAGTGATGAAAACTTACATTCTCCAGACATGAAATAGAGAACAGTGATGAAAACTTCCATGTTGGAGTTATCGGTGTTTTGCACCATTTTGGCACCCAGCAAGTAAATACACACAATGATATTTGAGGAGTAAATTATTTTAACCTCAATATAAGGTAAGCTTGTATGTTATCAACATTGTATATGGCCACAAGTCCTGTATTTCTGCTGGTAACGACACACACACCACAGCTGGCTGCCTCCAGGCCCCTGCTCGAGCCAACCTGTCATGTCAACTAATCACATTGTTTTTCGCAGTCACATGACTTTTTAGCTACGTTAACCCATATTTTTTTTTACACATTTTGTCCCAATTTATTTAAAAATATCATTACCATAGTGAATTTAAGCATTTTCTTTACACATTGACCATCGTACAAAAAAAATTCCGACCAACAACTTGTCTATTATAATAAAGAAGAGTTCCAAAATAAAGTGCAAAATATTGACTGGTCGCATGTGACAAATTGCATGGAGGTTTAACGATGGACTCGAAGAAGTTCAAAATTGTACTTTTACTGCCATTCTCGATGACGTAGCACAGTTAAAGGAGATAAGAATAAATGCTAGGACTGAACCTTGGCTGACTAGCGAGATACAATATTGGCATCAATTAGACACCGAGATCAACTCGCTCATAAGTTTAAAGGAGACAAACATGATGATGAGTTACACAGAGAATATTATAGGCTAAGAAGCAAAGTAGAGAGAGAGATAAAGAGAGTGAAAGAAGAATACTTAATAAGATTAAGGAAAACAAAAATAACCCCCAAAAGCTCTGGAAACAACTGAAAACCCTTGGACACAGCCACAAGCCAAAAGCACATTCCACCATAGTGTTAAACATCAATAAAGAGCTCTGTCACAACACATATTATACCTCAACACACAACTACAGTAACAAACTTCATCAAACCTACGGATAATTCCACATAGAGCGCGTGAACTCATTGTCCAGCAGCTGGAACATGGCTTCTACATCTCCAGTTGGTAAACGCTCTGGAGGTTTTTTCAATTCCCAACGACAAATGCGAGCAAATCCATGTTGAGGGCCAGTGCTCCAAGGTCCAAATTGGGCTGCAGAAGAGGCCAACATTGTATAACTGCAAGGCAACATCTGGAGTGCATTTTATAATATAGTAGTTATTTTGTACTAGAAATAAACCTTTTGGTTTATTTAATGATTTTGTACTAGAAATAAACCTTTTGGTTTATTTAATGAAAGAATAACAGCTACACTTTGACAATACAATGTTCAGAAAAAAGCAAACGCATATACAATACCACATGTACAAGTTTTATCGTACTGTAACTATAAAATCCTATGCTCCATCAATACACAGAACAGCACAAAACAAAAATGAGGTAGGGACACTTACGGAAAACAATTGGAATTCCTCCACGGATGGCTCGTTTTCCATCAAATATTGCTTGTTTACTGAAAAATTAATTAAAATAATAATTAACATTCAACAAAGAAATAACCAGCAGTTAGTATGTGATTATAAGTTCACTTAATATTACTGAGTGAAGTTTATGTCTCATTTTAGTTACAAATTGAGAATATTTTATACTACAGTATATTAATACGTACAAGCAACAAGCTACCAATATCTTGATATTTATACCATTATCATCCATTGAACAATATTATAAACCTTACATTACTTAACAACTTACAAAGGTGTGCTAATCAGATCACTTAATATGTGACGGCACACCAACGAGTACATTATTCTGTGCTACAGGTACTTAACAATAATGCCTTATTCTATGGAAAGCCTTAATGTTAGCACTTCAATCTTGCAGGTCATTCTTCCACTACAGTGCATTGACCAAACAAACTCATTTGATGTACCTATCCATTCACTGCTACCACTGCAAAATCTTCATACTGTACGTATTTCAATGTCATTCAAATACTCCACTACTTCCTGGGCATCCATCCCCTCACTTGTACTGTATCCTTCATGCCATTTTCTCATCTACCAATCTCCCTCCTACTATTCACCTCTGAAATAGGTGCCGGTATACTGTACAGAACACTATTTTCACAAATCTTTAATTTCTCATTTACTCAACATGGCCAACATTGACTATTCAAAACTCCAATCATTTAAAAAATGCATGTATTTCATATCCTCGGCATCATATTCCCCCACACCGTACTGAACCATGCCATTTCTGCAGCTTCTAAATTAAATTTTCTTCTTACTTCTCAGTCCCAGCTTCACACTCATTGTAATGTCAGCTCAATAATTTCCTCATACATCCCCATATTTGCCTCCTCTAGCATGGATCTCACTCTCCATACATTTCCCAATACATGGACAACACCTGAACTCGCAGAACATGTTACAGTAGGGTCGGGATATATCACGAGATACGGTTCAAGGATGTTAGCTATATACTAAATCGTGATATAAAATTACATGTAATCAATGGGGAAAATAGGGTTAGGTTCTGGAGAACTGCCACAGCAACTTGAGCCTAGATCCTATTCCCTAGTTATACAGTATATTGTATATTGATTTCAGAATTTTTTCATGAATGAAAAAGTTTAATGACAAAATTAATGATATGGAATTCCTTTGTCAGCCTGTTTCCACAATAGCCCCTTTTCGGTGAATAAAAAAGGGGGTTACTCTTTCAGCAATATCTTTAAACAAATTTTAAAAACAGTGCAAATAAGAGAGAAACTGACAATTAGTAGCTATGGATCAAATATCAAATAACAATACTGTATATTGCATTTTCCTAAATTTTAAATGAATATGATTGTTTCCCACAGGGTAGTCTGTTCTGGAAATGTACATTAAAGTCCACCCTACCTGGCCTCCCACCCACCCCCATCTCTTAACAAAAACCCGGCGCAGTCTGGCATCGTTGACAACACCCGATCAGGTTCACTGACTCAGAATGCAACCAGACCACTTTTTTACATCATTTTTGTGGGCCATTTCAGGCGGAACATGAGAGCATTCACAGCATTTGTTATGCTCTCCCGGAGCTGAAGTCTCAAGCTGGAAAGGTAGAGCCACTCAGGCGTGTGGTCAAGGTGTACCATCAAGAGCCACAATTCCCCCCATGATTACATGTTTACTGTACAGCTCCGAAGCTGCTAATGTTGGTCCTTAATCTATAGATCATTTATTTAGTAGGTTAAAATATTTCCTGGTTATATTGCAAATACATATGATTATAATTAATCGCAACCTAATTTCAAAGGCTGATTTTGTGCAAGTCTAAAGGAAATTTGGTGAAGCTCCTGCACTAATATAAATGCAAATGTTGTTAAAATCATCTGAGTACAGTAACTCCACTTTAGTTTTCAGCTCTATGGCCTCCTCCCATTCCTAATACAAATTAGCTCTAAAGTGAAGTGGGGCAAATTATTGAACTAAAATAAAAAGTAAATTCTATAAAAGGTCCATATACTTTATATAAAAACATCGTTTTACCCACACAAGTAATATTACCAGTAATCCTATTTAACTGTTGAATACTGTAAAGTACAGTACAGTACATAAGTCAAAGTTGACCAGGATGAGGATATTAAATCAAAACAATTAAGATGCCAAACAAAAAGCATTCTTGACATATTTCCATCACTCAGACCTACCAGAGAAACATTTTTGATATCAGGCAACATTTGACACACTCTATCAATAACATACAACTAAAACTGTGGGGGTTTAAATTACAATGCACTTTACAGTTTTTCATATTACCAGTATGTTCATTTACTAATTCTTCCTCATCCAATACCAGACGTGACGTCTGTTACGTTAACATGGAAAATAAGACATTCAAATTAAAAATATTAACTCATTAAACGTCTAAATATGGTACTCTGTACATCCCATTTTCTAAACAATAAAAAAAATTTAATTATACATATTATATACAGGAAACTTGTGTAATGAACAAAGAAAATATAAATAAACATACTTTAATTCTCGTTACATAATAATCCTTTTCAAGCTCAACAATGGGAGCACCCATTTAACCCTACCTCATCATTTGCAACAACCCTCACTCCACCCCTCACAAAAACTCACTTCCCACCATCATGTAGCAGTAAAAAGGCCCTACTGGATAGTGATACCTGTATATAAAATCAATGGCGTTCTCTTCCAGTTTTCAAGTGCAAGATAACTACAATTGTACTATTGATTTAATAACTAAATATGCTCTTATTTTATTCTTAATAAGCTACTTAAAAGAGGTACTGTACAGTACTTTACTGTCAACAATTAGGAAATCGGTATCCTGTACCACTACTGTACTGTACATCAGAAGTAACAAGTCTATAATCAAATGTCATAAACATTTATCAAGTACAATGTAAATACTGTAACAACACTTACTATTCTAAATGAACTCAAACTAATCACAAGCTAATTTATGCAATTACCTAAGGCCCTTCCCATAAAACCTACTGAAGCATGTACTGTGTAACAGGTGAGTATCATGAGTGGCTAAAATGGACCTACCTCACAAAAAGTTGTTCCTGGTTGTTCACGCGCCATGAAACCACAGTTGCACCTGTTGGGAAAAAATCCTGTTTTACATCCTTTTCAAACTTCAATAACACCTCTCTCTCCCTATAGGCACCAAAATGTGAAGGTGGTATAAGGTGTTATGGCAAATTAAATAAACTCATGAACAATCCAGAAGATGAATCCACATCCCTGGACAAGTTAATACCCATTCATACATGGGCTGTGCAGTATGGCAAGATCCTGAAACTTATGATAAAACCAAACTTAACAAAAGCTTAACCCTGAATCTACAGAATAAAGAAAAAATAAATTTCCATTAGATATATTATATTTGCCCCTGATGGACTATTAAACTTGTAAAATCATACCCATAGAAAGCAAGTGTGTAAACATGGTTGAAATCTAAATAGTACTGGATGACCTCTTCGAGACTATTGACAATGAGCCAAATTCTTTAAATTTCTGGAAAACATACAGTGCTGTATCTGAAAAATGAGACTAATCCTGAAATCCCATTTCACAACCAAGGATGGATCGAGTGACTCGTGTACAGTAAACAATTTGAGAAGGGCTCCAAAAACCCCTAGCATATGTGACAATCTAAATTCTAAAGAATTATCCATCTCTTCCAACTCAACCAAAGACCCATCACACTATTGACAATCCATAATGTCATTGGACAACATGACCAATGCTACCCAGTTCCTGCTCAGCTGAAAACTCTTGAGCCTAGGGCAGGAGAGAGATCAGAGTAGTCAGATCCAATCTTGTTTATAAAATGGATTTCAGGATTAATCCCTCATTCATAACTTATGCAATGGATCAACACTCGCCAGACTCAACTATTTAAAGCCAACCAGTACACAATGGAGGACAGAGGCAGTAAGCCTCAGAGTTAGCAAAACATACTCCTTTTCATTGAAACTGGCATACTGTGCGTATGGTTTCCAATTGTTTCTGTTCAATGAGGCTGGTATACATACAGCCCCCACTAACTCAATACTTAAAACTTGATATGTTGGGATATGTTTATATTATTTGCCAAGGTAGAATCGGCGAGACTTCGTGATTTGGAAATATTAAATAATTCCCAAAACCCCTAAATACCCTGTACTGTAATTCATGTGGCTTCCTTTACACTGTATAACAGATGTATTCCCATGAAAGAATATATTCCACTCATCTTATTCACTAGTGCACACAAAACAAAACTGAAAAGAACAAGGCATGATTGTAAGCAAAATATGAACCGTATGAATCAGTGTGAAAATGCAAGATCAGTAAGTGCCCATGAAACTTGAATTTTGTCAAGCACCTTTGCAGTTTCAATAGCAATACTGTGGACCGTATAGCGCTTGGACGATCTACCATACTTCCCGAGTACCCGTGTTAAAACTGTTTTTGTTAGCCTTGGCTTCCAAAAATCTTCAAGAGCCTCAGTACCTCAAGGAGAATAGTACAGTACTATAAATTAGTGACCAAAAAAAAAGTTTTAGTCCATGGCAGGTAAGAACTATAGCGCAACTCTTCATAACAAAAAACAGGTAATTCAACTACCAGTATCTTTATATTTTGTACATTCAGCTTAATTTCAAAGTACAATAAGTGTAGACTATACTGTACATTATAGTCTCGATTTACGAGGATTTGGTTTACGCGTTTGGTCATTTATGCGGCACCTGGCCAGACCGACAATTTTTATTTACACGGGAAGCGGCGCGGGCAGGGTGCGCACAAGGTCGCCCAGTCAACAAAACATTATCGAGTTCTTCACCCGCCACCCACTACAGCCGGCCCAAGTCAGTGATAGTGAGGATATGGACTTTGAGGGGTTTGACAAAGAGGCCCTGCAAGCCTCTGTGGTGGATAGTGATACAATTGATACAGGCGAGAGCCAATAATCTGCCCTCTGCCCCGGAACCAACCCCCCATCCCCGTTTGCCCAGCCAACTTTTCTACTAACGTAAGTGTTAAAAAACCTAATATTATTGATATTTCTCTTAAATATTAATTGTGTGTGGATACCATCATAAAATTAAGATGTCATTTTTACTACAGCGTACGTAATGTGTCGGAAAAAGTGTAGTTTGGGGGTCGGCTCAGTCTCTATTTCAATTACAGTCAACCCTCGCTTTACGCGGTGCCACTTTACGCGTTTCCACGTTTACGTGGTACCCTGCCGAAACCGGACTGCCCACTTTCCGCGGTGTGTGTACCCTTTTACGCGGAGAGCGGCGCGAGCAGGATGCGCACAAGGTCGCCCAGTCATCAAAACATTACCGAGTTCTTCACCCGCCACCCACCACAGCCGGCCTAAGTCAGTCATAGTGATAATGATAGTGAGGATATGGACTTATATGGACTTTGAGGGGTTTGGCAACGAGGCCCTGCAAGCCTCTGTGGTGGATAGTGATACAATTGATACAAGTGATACAGGTGAGGGCCAATAATCTGCCCTCTGCCTCAGAACCAACCCCCCATCCCCGTGTGCCCAGCCATCTTTTCTACTAATGTAAGTGTTAAAAAAACCTAATATTATTGATATTTCTCTTAATTATTAATTATGTGTGCATACCATCATAAAATTAAGAAGTTATTTTTACTACAACGTAGGTATTGTGTCTGAAAAAGTGGAGTTTGGGGGTAGGCCCGGTTTCTATTTCAATTAATCCCATACGTTATGTTGTTCACTTTACGCGGGCCGCCGTGGGTTGAATTAACTGCGTAAAACGAGGGTTCACTGTAATCTCATATGTTCTGTTATTTCATTTACGCATTTCTCGTGTTACGAGGACCTCCATGGGTTCAATTGACCGAGTAAATGCAGACTATACTGTACATTAATCTTAAGAGATAGTTTGTTATGTTAGGCTTCCCAGTATTAAACACCAAAACGCAAGTCCCATAAAATCACAAATTAGGTTCCTGAAAAACAATTAGTTAAATGAATTTCCGTAGAGCAAATACAAGAACATAGAGGAAAAATAGGGTTTGGTTCCGCAATAATAAGAAAACCCCAATATTATATGCCAAAAACATGAATTCCGTTCACAAATCACAAAACCCTACTAAACTAATGATAAATAGTAAACAACACATTAATAAAACAATATCTAGATGAAAATATGCAGCTAAAATCATTAAGGAAATGCCAAAGGAAAGTTTAAACAGTCTCCATTTGCATAGACGCTAGCTGTATCACGTGTGGCTGCCCTCAAACCTCGCCACAGTAACCCAGCCCATCTGGGGACGCTGCCTCTGCTGACCCTTAACAACACTCCTCCTACCATTCTCACACACAAATAAATGTTTATTCCCTTTATGTTTTTTACATTATGATCGTTATTTCCATTACCTTTTTTGTACATTAGGTATGTAGGATTGCATGTAAATGAGTAAAAAGAAAAAGTGAAGTAAAATTACCTACCCAAAATTACAAGTAGAAAAATAACCATCACATAACTCCCCCAGGTGATCCTGCCAATGCTAACTGACGCACAAAAGAATGTTTATTCCCCTTGTTTCCGACTTTATGATAATTATATATATATTTTGTTTTTCTGCATATTCTGAATAAAAAAATAATATATGAAAAAGGTGATGTTTATCTACCTGAAATTAGGAGTTGAAAATATCCGTAACTCATACCCCAACCTGGGAGGGAAGAGGGCTAGTGGGGATGTAGCTACCCCAGCTGATTCCTAGGGGTACTTACTTTCAAACCCATGCAAGTTATTGACATATAAATAATATAAATTACCCAGTAGTAATAATGTACCCAATTCAATGGCAACCCAGTAACTGTCGTTGTACTATAAACCATTTTCACCAATATTTATAAGTCTCACTCAAATTGTTTGAGTCCTGTTTCAGATTTTCAATACCACTAAGACAAGGAGTTCCTGACTTATGAGTGGGATAGCTGAAATTATTGCCGAGTATGTACCCAAACTGCATTTCATTAATTTCTATCCTGTAGTTTCTACATTCTAGTCCAGTGCACCACCTTCTCACTTTTAAGTACCGGTACAATACTTACTATCAAACTCTTCAGCTAGTCAGATAGATAAAACAATTCTGGGACGAGCTAATCCAGACATACCAGCAGCCTTTCCATTCTTCATTTGTATCACTTTCTTCGCCCATTCTCTTTTAAACTTTGGGATGGTCCCTGTACTGTACTGTACTGTCTATGCTGCCTCAAGGATGCCCATCCCATTCAAAATCATCATTCAGCGTATGATTACAGTACTGTATTTTCTCTAAGTTCTCACTCTCTTCAAACACTATTTCCCTTCCTATTCTGTATACCTCACCTCTAGCAGCTACACTATTCAGCTTGTCTGCAAATGCATCCTATTCATGATTCTTCAGCCTTGTAAACCTCTCTTCTGGCCCTCCACTTGACCCCCACACACACTCCCCTATCACCAACCATCTTCCAGGCATTTCACATTCTTCTTTTCTTCTTTATTACTCTGTCCACTTCATTATTCCACCATGTTACTGGATGACTGGCTGCGCTTTTTGTCCAGCCATACAACTTATCACTCACACTTGACAAAATATCCTTTAATATGGTTTATATACATGTATTAACTGTATACCTACATTGTCTAATTACATGCTGAACTGTATACCTACATTGTCTATAATAATAATTACAGTACATTATTATTATAACTCGAGACACTACTCCTCACACTCGCTGGTCATATCCACTCTCCTCCACTTAACATAAAATGCTTCCTTTGCATTTCAAGCCATCAGATTTCAACACGTTCCTCAGAACAAACAGCTTATTTCTTTCCCTGGTCCTTTTTCTTTAAGCAATGTCACACACAAGCAATCTGTACTTACTAGTAATCAAGCTTGCTGATCCCCCCTTCAAATAAGTTTCCTGTACTTAAAGGGCATCGATACTGTACCATAATTCAACTGTATCTTGTACCTGGCAGTTTTTTTTCTTCTTGAAAACAAGAGCTTCATGGCCGGAAAAAAGTTCTCCTCGAGTAATATAACTCATAAAAACACACCACTTCA